AGAAGAAAGAGAAAAATGTGCTCAGCAGTGGATGCTAACAAGACACCCAGTGAGATTCAGCAGCCAGTCACACTGAATATTTTGAGCAGAGGGGAAGAGAAAGGGATGTCCTCTGTTGGTGGAATCTTAGAAACTCCCCATCCAAATCAGACAACCTAGAGACCACCTATCACCACGTCTACACACCACCGCATCTGAAACTGGCCAATACCAAAAAAATGAAAAGCAAAGCTGTGAAACATTACAAACCATTAGAACCACAACAATAAAGTCCAATAAAACTTCTGGACACAGATCTAGGTACCATAATCCAAACTGTTTTTATAGATCCGGAAGATCCAAAACAAGATATAAACTAAAAGAAGCCAATCACACTGACTGTGATGGCTTGTGTCTAGATGTCCATCCAAAGACTCTTGGGGGCATACGTGGGGCACTCTAGAGGTGGCTGGTTCTAGAGTGCGTGGTGCTAGAATTGATTCATAGTGCAGTGCTAGGGTCAGGGTACTAAGATTAAGGCTGTGAGTGCTACTTGCCCAAAGCAGTATGGATAAGATAAAAAGAGCAGAAATACTCTGTTAAGGTGCCTTGTTGCTTTGGGGGTCTTCTGTGTGCAACACCCCTCTACCACATGCCACGTGTCCCAGAGCCAGCTGACTAGGAACTGAAACCTACAAACTGTGAGATAAATAAACCTTTCTCCCTCTAACTTTGGGTGTTGGGTATATTGTCCCAGCAGCAAGAGAAAAGGAGCTATGACACTGACCGTAAAACCACAGAGCACCTACAGGTAGAAAGGTACCAGATGAAAGAAATGCAAAACTTTCATGCGGAAATTTACACCTTTTGAAGGCTGAAGTAGAAATACTCATTACCGTAAGTATGCTGAATAGCTCCAGTTAAATCTGATAACCTAATGTGATTTAATCAATATCAGATTTTCACATAACTGACAAGATAAACCTATTGGCTCTTATGACATTACAAGGAACTGAGACTAACGAGACAGTTTTGAATAAGGTCTTGTCCCACCAAGCTCTAACACTCATCATAAACTACACTAAAACACTAGCACAATAGCTAAGAAAAAGACCAACAGATCAACAAAATAGGGTAGAGTCCAGAGGCAAATCCACACAAGTATAGTGACATGGTTCAAAACACAGGGATCATTTTTTTAAATGGGAAATGATGGACCAATTAAAGGAAAGACATAGTGAAATCAGACCAAAGATCCTAGTAGGAACCTAGCATGAGATAGAAGCCAGCACTGTTCAAGGGTCTGTACTCAACTTCTCCCCTCGTGACCTCACAATAGTCCCATTTCCCAGCTGAGAGACACAGAAAGGTCAGATCGCTCCCCTGAGCACAGCGGGCTAGGAAGTGGGGCCAGAGCCCCAACTGAGATGGACCCCGGTGACCTCCTGACCACAGCACTATGCACAGCCAAGTGAAGAGGAGGAAAGCAAAGCATGAAATCTGCTTTATAGAATAAAAGAATTTTACTCGAAATTTGACCTTACAAATTAAGAGACCTGTGCTGGCATAGAACAAAATAGTCTAACATACGGTTTTAGTAGTTGAGATGTTTAAATAAAAACTAGAAATCAAGAACTAGAAAACAAGCAAATAATCAAAAAAGAAGAATCTTTCACAGATACACTTAACTGTAATACTCATAAAGGGAAATAACAGTGAAAAAATATTATTCCATACCTACTCTGGCCCTCAGAAAGGAAAAACTGATGCCAACAAAGGTGGCAATCAGGGGTGCTGGGGCACAGGGGGGCACATCAGTTCAGCAAACACTGAGTTCACTTGCACTTGGTACCAGGAGCCATCAGAGGCCAGGGAGCCCAGGATGTCAGAGAGGCCCCCAGCACCCCGTGCAGGAGGAATGCACACATATGCCTGTAGAAGAGCTATTCTGGAACCATGACTAGAGGCTCAACTGTTCCACTCCAAGTTTGGGTTTACTTTCACATAGCCCCAGTCACAGCCTCCAAAAGCTGCTCAATCTCGACATTTCTAGTGTGAGAAAAGCCATCAGTTTTCACCACAGAGTAAATTTATTGCACATTCTTCAGCTCCCTGGAGATCATTAGTAGTTCCTAACATCTGGTTAATCTTCTCTCAGGCTAGAGCCTAATGCCCTCCTCTGAGTGCAGATTCATACCACAAAGACAGTGTTCTCTGAGTTAATCAGTCCACAGCAGAAAAAATACAAAAAGGAAGGAAGAAAACATTGGTTGTAACTACTACATATTGTCTTTTAATTATAGCTTTTTCTGTTCATCCTTGTTTATCTATTTGACTTTGTGTCAATCATTATGCTTATAAATCAGTGCAATGGAAATTGAACAGTAGATAGTTGGTGACAAACCAGAGTCAGGAAATAGAATATTTTGTGCAAATATTCACTTTGAATCAGGGTGCTTTTTCACAGAGCAGAAAGACACTAAAACTCAGTACTGATTCGGGGAACTACTGAGACTATAAAAAATAATAATAATAAAAAATTCTAAAGATCTTGGAGATAATCACCTTTTGGGGGGACACAAAACAAAGCCATGTCAGTCACCCTCACCCTTGTTGCTTTGCTTAGTTTTAGGCAACAAGGACAAACCAAGATGGTCCAAGGACCATGCTGCCCCCAGGCAGCCAGGCCAAGAGCTGGGCAAGAGCCCTTTCTAGTGTACAAGACATGCCTGGCTCTGGTTATTCTAAGGGAGAGAATGGGTGTGTCCCAAGACTGGCCCCCTGAGCCCACAGATAATATATTTAATAACTGTGTTAGGAGTAGAAGCTCAGTTATTGTGGTGGAGCCAGATAAGCACACAAGCAGTATGGCAATCTAAATGTTAAGTGACATGACATGCTTTGTTTTCTTATATCTAAAATGATACAGTACGTGGTTAGGGCTATGAATGCATTAATTACGTTGGTGGTGTGTGTGGATGAATAACCCCATGATTTTCTACAGCTGGGGGTAGAAGGGCCCAGTTGAGGTGTTTGAAGGCATCTGGATGAGCTGTCACACGGACAGTTCAGGGAAGCCTGGCTGCAGTCCAAGTGGCAACTGAAGCCAGAGGGTGGGGAGGCTGTCTTGGCTGGCAGGGTGCAGACTGTGGAAAGACCATGTGTGAGCACTTGGGACTCCAGGTCTGCAGTGTAGGTGGAGGAGGAGCTACCAGCAGAAGATAAAGGCAAGTGTCAGATGGACGGCGGGAAACTAGAAGCACGAGGCACCCTGGGAGCCAAACAAAACAGTGTTCAGAAGAGGAAATGGCCAGCTTTGCGGGCCCTTCTGAGAGGTGGTATGACTTGAGGACTATCAGGGTATATTGATTATGTGGCGTGAAAATAATTCACAACTTGAGCAAGGGCTGTTCCCATTGAGCGGTTGAAGCAGAAGTTAGATTTGAGGGCTTGGGGAAGGGATAGCAGCTAAAATCTTAGGGGAGAAACTAGAAGCAGCTCAGGCCAGAAGTGTGACAGCAGAGGGAGGAGAGAGTGGTAGTAGAGAAGTGTGTGGTCTCCCGCGGGGTTCGGAGTGGGGTGATTGGGTGGTTCGGCATAATGAGGCACATGAGAGCTTGTACAAGTAGAGAAACTGAAATAAAATCAGAAAGCAGAAAATACTCTTGTGAAAAACTTGAGAAGAGAGAAGGCAGAGTACATGTACAATGGGTGAGGTCTGTTAGAAGAGGCAAACAGTTGGCTGAATAATGAAGTTTCTATTGACCAGTTTCCATTTTTCTAGTGAAACTGAAAACAAGGATATGAGCTGAGAACAGAGAGGCAGAGACTTGAAAATAGAATGAGTCTAAAAAGAGATTTTATAGAAATTTGGAAACCAGATTACCAAGCAGTTTTGAGGGCCTTGAAGAGGTCACTGGGCATTAATTTATAGCAGTAATACGCTCCATTGTGTCTTCTCACAATGAAACTATTCTCAGCAGCTTGGGTATAGACATGGAGAAGATAGATGGATTCATCTAGATTTGAGATTTGCTGTGAATTTGCAAGAGAATAATTGAAATGATGGATCTCAGATTCTGTCAGTAATACAAAGATGAGAGACAATGTAAAAGAATGGCTGGTGCCTGGATCTGTGAATGGGTGGGAGATAGAAGGACAAGGCAACTAACAGCACTGCTGGAAGAATGGTTGTCGAGGGATAATGGACAAAGCAACTGAGAGGAAGGAAGTGAGTGAGACACCAGCCATTTGCACTACTTCACTGACACAGTAGTTTCAGGTATTGACAAGGACCACGGGCTGACAACAGATGGACGACACAGAGCAGGTAACTCGCTGGAGAGCTGAGTAGCTGATTCACACAACTGTCAAAGTTTATCTAAGTTGGTAGGTGGAGGGAGCAGAAGGGGAGTGGAGAATCCCGTAACCAAGCCACGGGTGAAGCAGGAGCAGTGACTGAGAACACAGGTGAAGGCTGCCACAGGGACAGGGACGACGCTTCCAAATGTAGAGCTTGAACCAGAAAGTGAGAGAGCAGCAGCCCGAAGGCGCAGTGGGGAGGACACTGCCCCGCTCTCACTCCTGGAGCTGCGTGGGTGTCAGTGGCCCCACTAGAGAGAAACACATGCAGCTTTGCACTCAGAAGAGGGCTGAGGTCCCACTGAGAGGATGGGAAGACTCTGCTGGTGGAGTCTGAGTACAGAGAAGGGAGAAGAAGTCTTCCTTCGTGGAATGACTGCTCTGCTGTGCATGGTGCATGGCCTTGTCAAACACAGACAAGAGCTGGCGTGGGTCACAACCTCTATGACAGAAGTTTTGTTTTGTTCTCATATTTCTGCTCTCAGGATCAAGAATCTATGAGACACATGGACATACTTAAAAACTGTTTAACTCTTATTGAACATTGGATTGTTCAGTCTTCAGCTGACTCTACATTCCATTGTGACATTCTGAATACAGTGATCATTTTGCAACAGCTTAGAGGCAGATCCAAAAGAGTACAAGAGATTGATTTGTACCTGTATTGTTATCTGCACACATCTGATGATTAGATCTCTGTCATGAGCTTGTCTTGGTATCATTTGCTTCTTTGGTCCTGAAAAGGAAGCAGCACATGTGTTCTGGTTAATTGGTGCTTTGGCTACTTGAGTTGTGATTAATTCAAGTGTGTTCAACATGGAGCTTCACATGCTCATCCTAAGAAATATCATACTATTTGATGTAGATGCAAAGATGCAGTCACAAAATCACATGCACATTTTTTTTTTTCCCAGTACCGGGAACCAAACTCACGACCTTGCACTTTCCAGGCAGGCGCTGTGCCGCTGAGCTAAATCCCCAGCCCCCACATGCACATTTTTTAAAGTTACCTGAACATGATAGAAGAAAACAATGCCACATGGCCCATTAATTTACTATCATTAAATAAATTACCTTTGGTTATTTTTCCAAATTATTTTTGGTTATTTTTCTTCTGGCAATTTGAGCTCCACAAGCCTGACTTTTGCTTATAACATTAGTGAATAAGATTCCAGTATGACTCTGAAAATTCAAATATTCACAATCAAATGAATCATCTCAAGAAAGGAATTAAAGGGCTGGGGATTTAGCTCAGCGGCAAAGCACCTGCCTGGCAAGTGCAAGGTCGTGAGTTCAGTTCCCGGTACCAGAGAAAAACCAAAAAAAAAAAAAAAGGAATTAAAGAAATTCCCTCTTTCCTTAAAATTCTCAAAAGAGAGATGGAAGAACTTTAGAGGATGCTGGCCTTGTTTTCCTATGCAATATAGAGATTTATATGACTGTTCATAACCATTTCTCCCACACTTTTTAAATAATATCAGATCTGGGAAGTTTCCTTTGGACAAAAGGGTCTTATAAGATTATGAACATTCTAAACACAAAAATATTCCCTAAAAGAAACCTGTAATTCTGATTGATTGTCTTAGTAGATAATTTGTTATTCTAGTAATAACAATGTAATTGGAAACTCTGTGTAACTAATTTATTTTTAGAGAGCTGGGCATGGTGGCACATGCCTGTAATCCCAGCACTCAGGAGGATGAGGCAGGAGGATTGCTGAGACCAAGGCCAGGCTGGACTACATAGTGAGACCCTGTCTCAGAAAAAATCTTTGAAGAGTTCTCAGTGAAATCAGATTAAGATTCACTAGCTTTAAAGAACAACTGCTTAAATGAATAATTGAAAATCATTTTAAAATCTGCTTGAAAAAATAATTGAAATTCTGGTGCCGTGAGCTTCCTCTTGAACAAAATTCAGTCATGGTAAACTAACAGTTATTGAATTTATACTCCCACTGAAGACAGTAAAGCTAAACCAAATATATGAAAGAGTTATTTTCTCATGTGATTTGCAAGAAAATACATGAAACTGGAGAACATCATGTTAAGCAAAATAAGTCAAGCTCAGGAAGTAAAATACCAGATGTTTTCTCTCATCTGGGGAGTCTGGGAAGAAAATGGAGAAAGGCAGAGGACACGAAAATGGAAGGGAGACAGAGATGGGGGATACGGCGAGCCGGAAATGAGGCATGGAAACAAGCGGGTGTGTTACACACGCGTACCAAGACACCAGAATTAATACACACTAATGAAGTTTTAGAAGTGTTTTTCAAGCACTGAGTACCGAAAGTTGAAAGAAATCAAAGGAAGAGAACCCATATTTGTGCTGCTTTTCTCTCTGAAGATATTTTTCAAACTCTACACAGGGTGAAAGTCAAAGGAGAGAGAGGACATAGAAGAGTCAGGGGGTGCTGACCAGGCATGGTGGTGCACACCTGTAATTGCAGCACTCAGGAGCTGAGGCAGGAGGATCACCATGAGTTCAAGGCCAGCTTGGACTACATATTGAGTTCAAGGAGAGCTGGCATTACATAGTGAGATTCTGTCTCAAAAAAAAAAAAAAAGAGTTAGGGAATACTATGCCCAGCATCTGGCCCATGTCTGTAATCTCCGCACTTTAGAGGTTGAGGCAGGAGGGTTGCAAGTTTAAGCCTAGTGTGGGACACTTAGTGACTTAGTGAGACCCTGCCTCAAAATAAAAAATTAAAATAGCGTTGGGTATGTAGCTGAGTGTAAAGGCCCTGGGGTCAATCCCCAGTACCTTCCTCCAGCACACAACCAAAAGGTTAGGTACTAATACTGAAGATATTCTGAAGAGCACAGAGGAGAGAGTAACAGGCACTGGAGGAAATATATATACTGTCTTTCAGATACTCGGCAAAATCCAAAGTTCTGCAATTAACTCCGGGTTGAGACTGTGGGAAGTCCAGAATAAAAATCTCTGAAGAGGCTGAAAGCTGGGAAGAAATAGCTGGATTTACACATTATTGAGAAACATTGTAAGACTTTGGTGAACTCATAAACTTTCAATTGAGACCCCAGAAGACCTCATCTTAGGATAGAGACTAGTCCTCAAAATGACAGACCAGTCTTGGCAAAGCTAAAACCAAATTCTGATGGGTCCAATCGCCCTCCAGTAATCTAGCAGAACTCAAAACCTCTACAATCCATTGTCCACAATGTCTAACATACCAAAATAAGAAACAAAAATCACCAGACTCTTGAAGAAACAAAAGGACACTGAAAACCAAGATTTAAAAAATGGTTAATGGAAGCACACCCAAAGATTATCATTACTGACCTGCTAAAGAAAGTAAAGATTCGGGGGTCAAGATGGAGGAGTGGTAAGAAGTAGAGAAAGAGCCTCTGGAGTGTTGCTCTCCAGACACTGGAACATAGCAGTGTGGGGAAAATAAGCAGGAGGGAAGTCAGTCTCATGAACCTACGAAAGAACTGAGGTGCAAATTGAAGCTCACACAAAGTGAAGTGAGAAATTCCAACAAAGAAGAAGGAAGTACCCAATGGCACCTCATCCCTGAGATGGAATGCACCGTGCAAGAGGCACCAGAAGAGCAGTTCAGACTGGTGGACACAATTTAAACGCTAGCAACCCCAGAGGCCTCCAAGGAGAAGCACAGCAGTGGAGGGGGGCAGCGGACAGGAATGACTGCACCAACAGTGAGCGCTGAGGGTTCAGTTGTCCCACACGAGACAGCAACTGGCCAAGAACTACGTTGGAGAGGGACTGACTTAGCTCAGAACTCAGAGCTGCTGGTGGCTCCATCTAGCAGCTCCCACCTGGGTTCCCCCAAACAGAAGGTGCCTGAACAGCTGCAGGCCACCGAAAGGTCTGCTTGCTGAGATTATTCACTATGCAACCAAAAAGCTACTGATAGCTTCCTGGGACAAATCTATACAGACCTGCATTCTGTCCCCACGTGTTGTCTACTAGTGACAGCAGAGACAAACCTGGAGGTGGACTTGTTTTTAATTCTCTCTCTCTCTTTTATTTTTTGTAGTTTTGTTTTTCTTGTTTTTGTATGACGGTGAAAGCAGTGTCTAACCTGTTTGTGGTTATTCTGTTCTTTTTAGCTCTTTCTCTCTCTTTCCCTCCAATTTTCTACACTAGTTCCCAAAGTTAGCATGATCCCCATTTGTTCTCCTGCCCTATATCTAATCTCTTCCTCTTTTTACACTTTTCTGTTTTCTCCCTAATCCACTTTTTCTTTTGTCTTTTTCAGACAGAGTCTCACTATGCAGTTCAGGCTGGCCTTGAGCTCACTTTGTAGGCCAGGCTGGCCTTGAACTCACAACAATCCTCCTGCCTCAGCCTCCTGAGTGCTGGAATTACAAGTGTGTGCCACCATGCCTGGCTCCTTATCCACTTTAAATTTTAACCCCTGAGGGCAAAATTGACATATTAAGAACTTACATGCTGCATACAATTTTCTGCTTTGTTTTAGATTTTGTTATATAACCACAGCCTAGTTCATACAGTTAAAGGTGGCAAATTAATGGTTATTTCAGTTTGTCATTTTCTAGGCTGTGTTTTGTGCTATTGTCATTGGTACCACTATAGCCAAAAGTGACACATTTGTTCTAAACAGCTGCTCTTCCTGGTATTCCAAGACTGAGATTGATGAAAGGCCACAGAAAATATTGTGGTACAGTACCAAAGAAGCAGGGGCTGGGCCAAAAAAGCAGCAACTTCTCATTCCCAAAGAAGTGAAGAGGTAGAATCTTACAGAAGACTCAAAAACCAAAAACATCAGCTACACCTGGAAGATGTCTACAAGAAGTAGTCATTTCCTAAGGGTTCTAAATACTAGCAATAAAGCAACCCACAATTTATAAACATCACATCTGGAATTAAACTAAAAAAAAGAAAGAAAGAAAAGAAAAGAAAATGAGAAGACACTTAAATAAGAAGCAACCCCCTAGACATCCAGTTAACCAAAGGCAAGCCCAGAGGGCAATGAGGTGGGTCAATCCAAAAGCCACCCACCTGACCTCTCTGAAGTGGTAACAACAAAGCAATTAAATAAGGCTCTAGAAAAAAATAAATCAGAAATAATTTCCCAGATAACTGCTGAGATGGTGTCCACAATGGAAATCATGCTTAGTGATTCTAGAGCAGATACAGGCAAGAAAATAGAGGAGCTTAAGAAAATTATGGAAGCCATGAATGCTCAGCATAGGAAAGAAATGGAATCCATAGGCAAATTCAAGCAGATATCCAGGAGAATAAAAATTCTATTGAAAGTATTCACAGTAGATTAAGCCAATGTGAGGACAGGATCTCAGATTTAGAAGAGAAGCTTGCAGTTATCAATCATGGAAAGAAAGATTTCTTAAAAATAGCATAGGACCATGAGAAGTCAATACAGCAGCTTCTAGATGATGCAAAGAAGAATAACTTAATATTAATTAAAGTCAATGGAAAAGCAGGAGGTAGCACAAATGCTACAAAAAAAAAAAAAAACTGTTCACAGATGTCATGGCAGAAAACTTCCTGGGTAGAGAAAAAGAGTTTGACATACAATTAAGTGAGGCATATAGAACTCCAAATAGCTATGATCAAAAAAATCTACAACCAGGCACATCATAAGAGATTTGACATAAGAATAGAATCTTAACAGTGATCAGGGAAAAATAACAAATCACCTATAAAGGAAAGCCCATCAGAATCACAGCTTTCTCAGCACAAACCCTCAAGTCAAGGAGAGCTTAGAGTAAA